CCCACCCCCATTTTTTTTTTTTTTTTGAGGCACAATCTTGTTCTATAGCCAAGGCTAGCCCTAAACTTGGGACCCTCCCACTACCAAGTTTTGGGATGACAGGCATGTAGCCCTACGGGTGGCTACGGAAAGCTAAGCGGTGTCAGGCTACATGATTGCTGAATACATTTTACCCCTTACAGGAGTTGCTTTAGAGTTTGCAGTGCTAGCTGAGTGACTAAGAGTGTGCTGCCGTTGAAGGATTCAAGTTCTGTTCCTGGTACCCACACTGAGGGACTCACAGCCCAGCTGCAGGGAATCCCACTCCTGCTCTGGCCGCCGAGGGTGCCTGCACACACACAAACACGCCCACACAGAGACACTTAAACCCTCACAGATACACATGCATATGCACAAGTAAAAGCCAACCTGAACTGTCCGACTTCATCGCCATGTTGGAGCCGACCCTTCTCCTTGCCTGCTTGGAAGTGCCAAGTATCTGAAGGGGGTGAGTAGCTCAGATATTCTAAGGACTTCCATTTTATTTTATATTCGAAAACTTTTATCTTCAGATGGTAAATCTCTCTATTCCTAGCGATGCCAAATTTTGACATTTTTTCCCAAAGATTTTCATATGAGTATTTTGCCTGCATGCATGGCTGTGCACCATCTGTGTGTGCACAGTGCCCACTGAGGTCAAGCCCGGGTGTCAGATCCCCTGGGGCTGGAGTTGCAGACGGTTGCAAGCTGTCATGTGGGTGCTGGGAACCAAACTTGAAGTCTCAGCAAAAGCAGCCGGTGCTCTTAACTCTCTGGGCCACTTAGTGTTTCTCTTTGTTAGTGACTTAGCTGTATCGACTTTCTTTTGATTACTGTCCCAAATACAACTTCCCCATCCCTTAACTCTTTGGCTTTTCTTGTTCTTGTGTCTCTTATAGAGTGACCACATTGTCATCCACTTCAAGACACTTTTTATAAGAGGAAAGGGCCAAGGTGACTTTCTATGCCAGCCCAGAAGACACAAAAAAGGTATGCTCCAACTACACTGGGAAATGCTTATATATACATATATGTATATGTATATATATATACATATATGTATATACATATGGATTTGTTTTTAACTGATTAACATTTCAATTAACTTACAGTAATTGCATGTATTTGTAGAGTACAGTATAGCACTTTAAAACATGTATGCAACATGTAATAATCAGGTCAGCCATTAGCATATCCACTATCTCTGGTATAGCATCGTTTCTTAGCATTGTGAATATTCAGTATTGAAATATTCAGTTGTGGCTCACCACAATTGCTCTACTGTGCGAGAGAGCATTAGATGACAACATTCTCCAATCAAACTGTAGTCTTACTCTTACCCCTATTAACTATCATCTCTCCCTGTCCCTGTCCCTGCCCCAGCCCCTGCAAGGCTCTGGTAGCCAGGGCTTATTTCTTTGAGATAACTTTGTCTTTCACATGAATGAGAACAAAGGATAACTGTCTCTGTGTATACGACGTCTTTCATTCAGCAGAACGCCCACCTGTCTATCCACGTTTCCACAAGTGACAGAATGTGGGTCTTTCAAATCTGAATGATACTCCATTGTGCATATGTAGATTGAAGAGACAGGTGATAGATAAATTATAGATAGATGATAGAAGATACATATATATAAATTATGGATAGATGATAGATAAACAGATACATTATAGATGATAGATATATAGATTGATGATAGATGAATAGATGATTGATAGATGATAGATTATAGATATAGCTAGATGATAGATAGATGGATAGGTAAATGGATAGTTGGATAGATAGATCAATGATAGATAGATGGATGATAGATAATAGCTAGATGATAGATGGATAGATAGATCGACAATAGATAGGTAGATGGATAGATAGATGATAGATATAGATAGATAGATAGATAGATAGATAGATAGATAGATAGATAGATGATAGGTACAGACAAGCATATCACTTGTGTCATGGTAACCAAAAAGCTGACAGAAAAAAAAACTTAAAGGAAGAAAGGTTTATTTTGGTTCATGTTCTGAGACATTCTATCCACTGGGATGGGAAAGGCATAGCAGAATCCATGTTAGCAGGAACATGTGACATTTGCTGACCACATTTCTGTGCTCCTGAGCCCAGGAGCAGAGAGCAACTATAACTAGGGTCAAGGCTACACCCTTCAAATACATGACCCTAGTGGCCTCCTTGCACCAGATGGGCCCAACTCTTGAGGGGCTGAAGGGCCCAAAGTCCCCCGAAATAGCACAACTTTTAAACTTTTGACAATGTATCTTAATTCATTTTTCCAGTGGAGTTACTGAACTCGTTTTTTCTATGTATCTTCTTCCCTTGACCTTTTATGAATTGAAATTTTTTCCTTTACATTTTTCTGCCTATGGAAGTGACTGTTAAATCTGTATTATGCGAGTGTACTTTCAAATCCTTCACCCTGCATCCTCTCACAGATGCACACACAGACACACACAGAGAGACACAGACATGCACACACATACACACAGACAACACACACAGACACAGGCACACACACACACACAGAGGCACACAGAGACATGCACATAGACATGCATACAGAGACGCAGACATGCTCACATATACACACAGACACACACACACACACAGACACAGGCACACACACACAGACACACACAGAGACATGCACATAGACATGCATACAGAGACGCAGACATGCACACACATAAACACAGACACACACAGACACAGGCACACACACACACAGGCACACAGGTATAACGAGTACGTTTTTCCTACGCCGCCTGGTCTTGTCCTGCCGCCGCGCCAGCCCCAATTAACACACTGAGACTCTGTATTTGATATTGTACTATTGGCCAGTTACTACTTTCTTATCGGCTAGCTCTGTCTTAAGTATTAACCCATTTGTGTTAATCTATGCATTTCCACGTGGTCTTCTTACCCGGAGCCGGCTGCCGCATACTGCTCTCTCCAGACTCTCCATCTTGGCTCCTCCTTACTACTTCCTCTTCCTCCTTGTCTCCTAGTCCCTCCTATCTTCCTTTCCTATTGGCCAACAGTGCTTTATTCATTAACCAGTATGAGAAACATATATGTAGAATGACATCTCCCATCACACAGGCGCACACACAGACAGACACACACACACAGACATGCACATAGACACACACACACACAGAGAAATGCACACAGATGCACACACACACAGACATGCAAACACAGACACAAACACAGACACACACAGATACAAGCATACAGACACACATACACAGACACACAGACATGTGCACAGACATACACACACAGACACATACACAGACCCAGGCACATAGACATGTACACACAGACACACACACCCACACATACAGACACACACACACACACACACACACACACACACACACACACACACATACAGACACATAGACACACACACACCCTCGGAGTCCAGAAGGGGCCATCGGACGTGAGCCATGTGACCTGGGTGCTGGGAAGTGAACACCAGTCTTCCACAAGGCAGCATGTGCTCTTGTTGAGCTACTTCTGAAACCCCATCTCAGCTCATTATTTAGAACAATTTTCACTTGAAATTCTTTTACGGCTTGTCATTTTGATGACGTGTGCTTGTGTCTCAGGCTGCCCCCCTGAGATCTTTTATAAATGCCATCAGGCTAGGCGTCTTGCTTCTGTACCCTTCTAGTCCCCAGCTGACAATGTGAACCCTTATGCCACCCTGGCTCTCACACACCACACCCAGGCTGGCTGTGCTCCTCATTCTCCTCTGAATGCACATGTGCCTCTCTCTCTAGCAGTGATCCAGCATCCTTCCTTAACCCTGGGGTCCCGAGACTTCATTATAGTGTGTCTAGCCTGCCGCTGTGCCTAAGAGAAGCATTGGGTTCCCTAAATCTATTGACTTATGGCTTTCGAGTTGGAGAAAAGATGTTTCTATTTACTGCCTTTTCTGTTTCTCTTTAGAGTTTCTGCTAGCTATATGCCTCTGCACATGCTAGCTAAACATGCCTCTGCACATGCTAGCTATACATGCCAGCTCACTGACTCTGAGATTGAATCTGATTGTTTAAGTTTCCCTTTTAGTATTTCATTCAAGCAATGTTTCAGCTCCTCTTATGCTCAGACGCTCCTCATCTGGCCCGTGAGGTGTCTGGTCATCTCATGGCGGCTTGCCTTCTTAGACGACAGTCTTTGTTTGCCATTGGTCTTTGTGAATCTTGCAGCCTCAGCTTGCAGAAGGTTTCCACAGAAAAAGCAGCTGACGCCTTTCCAACACACAGCCTCTTCAGTGCTGCTGAAGAATTTTGGTGTACACAGGGTTAGACTTAGTTTCTGCTCCTTACTCTGTCCCAAGGTAGTGTCCTGAGTACTGCAACCACCCCTCCCTGCCACTGCGTCCACCCCCGCCCCCGCCCTCCCCCCTCCCGCGCTGTGTCCCCCCCCCGCCCTCACATGCTGTACCGCTGTGTCCCCATGTTACCATCTGTGTCCCCCCCCCCACACACAGTGTTCTCCCCCCCCACACACACACACAGTGTTCTACATCCCAACCCTGGCTCCAAGCTTGGTGGTAAAGGTTCAAGCGATTCCCTTCGGCGCCCAGGCCTTTGCTGCTCCTGATTCAGTTTTTATTTTGCTTCATTACCGATTAACTTATTTGAAGGAGAGGATCCCTGAAGTTCTGTGCTACCTTTTGATGCTAGTGATGCCTCGGATGTGTGAGCAGTTTGTTGTGAGGAAGCTGTCATAGAGCTCCTGGCATTTGTGAAAAGAACATTGTCTAGAACACTCAACATGTCCATTGCACTAAACACGGGATGGCTGAGCCAGCAGGAATGAATTAGGCAGACCGAGAGCCTTTGGAAGGAAAGGAAGGGACCACGTACTCACCATCCCTTGGCTCCCATCCTGCGGTCTGGTGACAGGAACTGGTGGCAGGGGACTGACAGCATCCTTTCTTGAACAGATGATAGAAGAAGAACATAATTCCAAGCCAGCATTCGGGTTCCAGAATTCCAGGGACACAAACCGGCATGAGATTCCCTTTCCCTACCATTCCTGGTCCTTGGAGATGTTGCTCCGCAGACTGAAAGCCATGGATGCCAAGAGGGATGACAAGTTGGCCAGTGTTCTGGATGCTGTGGGGGAGTTTGGCACGTTCCAGTGGAGGCTGGTGGCCCTCACCTTCATTCCCAGTATGCTGTCTTCCTACTTCATGCTCTCTGACCACTTCATGCTCACAGCCCAGAAGCCTTACTGCAACACCAGCTGGATCCTGGCAGTGGGCCCCAATCTCTCCATGGAGGAGCAGCTGAACTTGACCCTGCCCCGAGCACCCAATGGCAGCTTCCTGACATGTCTCATGTATATACCCGTGTCATGGGATCTAGATTCTATCATCCATTTTGGTCTCAATTATACAGAAACGTGCAAATATGGGTGGATCTATCCCTATGCTAAGACACGCTCTCTGATCAACGAGGTATGTGTTTGTCTTGTGTTGACTATAGCTACCCAGGGAAGGTGGCACACTCTGCGGAGGCTCACCTGGGAAGGAAACCGGGGTTCTTGTTCCCCAGCCCTGGGCCCTGCCTTTCTTAGCCAGGAGTCTAGAATGCATTTTGGCTTAGAGACAGGCTTGCCAACTGTCCAGAGAATTGCTTCTCAGGTTGTGGACCTTCCCTTCTGGTTTCAGGAAGACCCTTGTGTGTAGCGTGTCTTTATTCTGTTCCTCTGCATCCTTTCCGACATCTGGCAGTCCTTGGATCTAAGCCAGGACTGAGGCGGCAGAGGCACAGGGTAGGGGGGGATGGCTCAGAAGGGCAGCCACACAGACCACACAGAAGTTAGAGAAGGAAAAGAGAAAAGTTGTGTTGGGCTTTTCTCAAAGGACCTCATGCCCTGACTTGAGGCTTGGGCCCTTCCTTTCAGCTCAGAACGGTCCATGGGAAACTGAGTTGAAGCCCAGGACCCATGTCTAATACGCCCCACTAATCTCCTTTCTCACCCTTTGCCTTCACGTCCTCTCTCCAGGGTGAGCTACAAGGTCTACCAGGTGCTGGACAGACAGACAGACAGGGCCCAGGGGTGACGGAGTGAAGGCACTTTACATAGAACTACCTGTCCCCTTCCCTCGGTGCCTAAGGCAGTGGTTCTCAGCCGGTGGCTTGCAGCCCCTTTAGAGGTCACACAGCCCTTTCACGGGGGTCTCCAATCGTGTGTGTCAGATATTTGCATTACAACCCATAGCAGTAGTAAAAGCACAGTTAGGTCGTAGCAACCAAATACTTTTATGGTTGGGGGTCACCACAACGTGAGGGAATTGTTTTAAAGACTCGCAGCCTTAGGAAGCTTGGGAACTCTTGATCTAAGGGCCAAGCTCAGTCTGTGCTCCCAAAAGGCTGGGTCTGTGCGAGGGCTGTGACCGGGTCCCTTTGTCACCCACAGTTTGACCTGGTGTGTGGCAATGAACCGAACAAGGAAAACATGCAGACCGTGTTCCTGGCGGGCATCTTGACAGGGTCTCTCCTCTTCGGGTTCTTAAGCGACAAGTGAGTCTCTGCCGATCCCCGGGACACTCTGCCTCCTTCTCAGGGGATGGCACATCCCACCGACTCTGGGTCTCAATCTGGGGAAGGCAAATGGAGGGGTGCTCCCAAGCCCGTGGGGGTAGCACAGAGCCTGGCCCAGGAAGTGTGACCCTCGGTGACGTCTCCTCACACCCACAGGATGGGCCGCTCTCCAACCATCCTGGTGTCGCTGCTGGGGCTCCTCATCTTCGGCTTCGGGACAGCCTTTGTGAACAGCTTCTACCAGTACCTGTTCTTTCGCTTCATTGTGGCCCAGGTGGCCGTGGGCTATGCCATCAGCAGTGTGTCTTTAGGTGACGGCCTCTCAAGGGGCAAAGCGGGATGGAAACGGATACAGTTCAAGAGGGAGCAGGAGGCAGATGTGGCTGGGAGAGATGGCTGACACTAATTTATGGGGAGGCGACAGGCCACAGAGCCCTGGGGAGAAGGAGTGAGGGGCCCCCTCTTGGCTGCCCAGAGGTGTGAGGGAGTCAGAAGGGAATGCCCTCGACCCTCACCCCCATAGTATTCTCCTGCACCCCGAATGTTCTCCTCATGCTCCTTGTATGTCCTGCACCTTGAGAATCAAGGGAGCTGCTAAGCCCTATATGCACTCTGCTTATTTCATCCCTAGTATAGAGTTAGCCAACAGAGCAAAGCTGGAGTCTGTGCAGGCTTGTGTGGTGCGAACACCTCCAATGTGTGCACACCCACACCTACACTCAAATGCCCACAGTCCCTCATTTTCTAGGGGCTCTCTGGTACTTCTCATTGGGGACCTGCTAGAGCATGGCCAAAGGGAACTAACCTTCTACAGAGCCTTAGGCCAAGGAGACCAAAGCACTAATAAGCTCTAAGCAAGCGGCACCTTGTCTCTGCACATGTCAGACCCCGTGAGACGCCCTGAACAAGTCAGGCAGAAGTTTTAGAGGGAGTGGCTAGGGGCAGAAGAAATGGAAGGGTGTGCATAGGTCTGTGGAGGTTCACAAAGGCACTGGGGGATACGGGGACACTCCAGCTCTGAGAGGTCTGAAAATACGGAGCAGGCAGAAGGGAGTTTGTCAAGTCTGAACCGTCCAGGGCAGGGTGGGCGTGCCAGCCAGCTGCACGGAAGGCCAGTTGGGGACTGATACCTGACCATAGTTTTGTTCTCATGTTCCCTCAACAGTCATGGAGTGGCTGGTGGGTGAACACCGGGCTCAAGCTGTCATTCTGGGGCACTGCTTCATCTCTGTAGGCATCATGTTCCTGTCGGGCTGCGCCTACAAAATCTTCCACTGGAGGCTGCTGTTTCTGCTGGGTGGCGTGCCCATGTTGCCCCTCATCTCCAATATCTGGTGAGCAAGCAGTGTATGTATAGGGCATGCACAGGGTGGGTCTCACAGGCAGGAATGGAGGAGGTAAGGAAGTATGCAGGAGAGGCACAGCCTGAGAAGGAGGCAAAGGCACTCCCCAGCCTCGGAGAAGAGCCTGAAAGAGATGCCACAGGGTATTAGTTGGAAAAACAGAAAGACAGAGGTCCAGAGTCAAGCAAGGGTCAGGGGTGAAGAGGTAGGACTGACAGACTTGGGATGGCCGGGGTCACCTTCTTGGGGTGACCCCACTGGAGAAGGGTGGGGAGCGTGGTACATGGGACGAAGCTGAGCAAACGGAGCCCCTCCAAGAAACGGCCCCTCGGGGGAAAAGGAAAGGAGGCTCGTGTGGCATGCTTGAGCCATTTGCTGTTGTTAAATGTAGGGAGCTACAGACAGGAATCTAGGGGTGGGCTGTGAAGGTGCCCCTCGTGTACAAGGAGGGGGGGGTAACAATTGCTGGCTCTGTCTGAGGAGGGGGTTCAAGGCCGAGAAGGAGCTGTGAGGCAACAAATGAACTAAAAAACCTCAACAGCTCTGATGGGCATCAGGAAGCAGAACCAAGACTCCGGGGTGCAGATAGTGTGGGTAGACACCTGGGTGAGCTGGGACCTGGGATGTGACCCTGGGGTGCAGATAGTGTGGGTAGACACCTGGGTGAGCTGGGACCTGGGATGGGCCCCGGGGTGTGGGTAGACACCTGGGTGAGCTGGGACCTGGGATGTGACCCCGGGGTGCAGATGATAGTGTGGGTAGACACCTGGGTGAGCTGGGACCTGGGATGTGACCCCGGGGTGCAGATAGTGTGGGTAGGACACCTGGGTAAGCTGGGACCTGGGATGGGCCCCGGGGTGTGGGTAGACACCTGGGTGAGCTGGGACCTGGGATGTGACCCCGGGGTGTGGGTAGACACCTGGGTGAGCTGGGACCTGGGATGGGCCCCGGGGTGCAGATGATAGTATGGGTAGACACCTGGGTGAGCTGGGACCTGAGATGTGACCCCGGGGTGCAGATAGTGTGGGTAGGACACCTGGGTAAGCTGGGACCTGGGATGGGCCCCGGGGTGTGGGTAGACACCTGGGTGAGCTGGGACCTGGGATGGGCCCCGGGGTGTGGGTAGACACCTGGGTGAGCTGGGACCTGAGATGTGACCCCGGGGTGCAGATAGTGTGGGTAGGACACCTGGGTAAGCTGGGACCTGGGATGGGCCCCGGGGTGTGGGTAGACACCTGGGTGAGCTGGGACCTGGGATGTGACCCCGGGGTGTGGGTAGACACCTGGGTAAGCTGGGACCTGGGATGGGCCCCGGGGTGTGGGTAGACACCTGGGTGAGCTGGGACCTGGGATGTGACCCCGGGGTGTGGGTAGACACCTGGGTAAGCTGGGACCTGGGATGGGCCCCGGGGTGCAGATGATAGTGTGGGTAGACACCTGGGTGAGCTGGGACCTGGGATGTGACCCCGGGGTGTGGGTAGACACCTGGGTGAGCTGGGACCTGGGATGGGCCCCGGGGTGTGGGTAGACACCTGGGTGAGCTGGGACCTGGGATGTGACCCGGCCTGCCTGGCTTCAGAGCCCCTGACTGTAGCAACTGCCTGCACCATACATGAATACAAAAGATGAGGCGATGGGTTACAGCAGGGGACATGTAAGTGGCTCAGGGCCTTTCCATTTCTGCAGAAGTTAGGGACCAGCCTAGACAGTTCTCCAGATATCAGTGAGTGTGGGGCACATGTCTGTCCTGTATCTGGGACAGCTTGATCTTAAGGGCCAAAGGGCTTGCAAGGGCTTTTAAAGAGCGTTATTAACACAGGGCCGGACAGACCCCGTGGGCACACTACCTGCCACGCAAATGTGAGGATCTGACTTTTGGCCCCAGCATCCATGTAAAAAGCCAAACGTGGAACTGGGTGACTTCAATCCTGGCTAGACTGGCCAGGCAGTCTAGCATAATGAGTTAGTCTCAGGCACTGGGGACAGACTCTGCTTCAATAACAAACTGAGGCCGATCCCTCAGAAATGACACCTAGTGTTGACTTCCGGGTCCCACATGAATGCACACAGGCACACACATTGCCACACACCACACACAATCTGTGCACATGTATATCTGCACACACATGAATGTGTATGTAAACGCCCCCACATACAACTGCCATACAAGTGTCACTATTGTATTAGATACATGTTATCTAATTTGCGGTGATGACAAGTTTCCAGTTCCCTCTCTCTCTGCCTCTGGTTCCTTTCCCAGAATCCTTCATGGAGTCCTTTCAGCCTTTCCCAGAATCCCTCACAGAGACCTTCTTTGTACTGGCTGTTTTGTATACTTTGAGCCAATGTCATCTTCAGTGGGCTGAATTCAGTGAGGCATAGTTTTCTTCAGTCACTGCCTTCAGACACGCCCTTCCAGTTAATTCTCCCCCTGATACCTGACAATATCTTTGAAAGGTTCCATCTTTTCCCAACCACCGTTACTTGTAAGAATAAATGTCCTTTTGATAACTAAGAATCGGGGCTGAGGGTGTAGATCAGTAGTAGAGAGCTTGCCTAGTATGTGCCAGACCCTCAGCTCCATTACTGCACTGAACACGGCAGCAGCAGCTGGACCCCACTGGCAGGGGCCTGACTGGCAGCTGAATCTTATCCCAGTGGCTGATCTGCAGTCGGCCCCCACCCCCAGTGTCTGACCGGCACCTGGACGCCCCCCATACCCCACCCCCGTGTCTGTAATAGCAACAGGGCTCAGTGGAGTCTAACAATCTACACTCCTAACATTTCCAACCGCGATTGGCTCACTGGCCACGCTGTGGGACACACTCTATTTAGTGGTTTCCTCCAAGAAGCCCAAGGCCAAGTCATGGCAGCTCCTAGCTGTTACACTCTCCAGCGAGTCTGGAGGCTGGGATTCTTGCCTTTTTAAAAATACTTTTCTTGAGAGTAGGATATACTTACATTACTTCCCCTTCCCTTTCCCGCCTCTCGTCACTGTTGGAAGAACTTCCTCTCAGTCCCCAGGTTATTTCTTCAGCCTTCCCTGTGCTGTGAGAACTTGTGCCCAGGACCCCCTCTGGAGCTAGGGTAGTCGCCCACATTTCTCCAAACACATTGCACAGCATTGGCTCTGTGGGTTGCAGTGACGTCCATGATGAGATCTGGAGTCCTCTGGGAGACAAGTCTCTTAGTCAAGACAGAACGACCAGCCCAAGGTGGGTGGGCGGCATCATTGTCTGGCCTGGGACCCAGACAGTTTAAAAAGGAAAACGTCCAAGCATCCATTGCTCCGCTTCTGACTTCAAATGTGACATGACCTCAAGTTCCTGCCACTACTCCCTGGCAGACCCTCCAGCTGTGAGACCCTCTTCCTTAAGTTGCTTTTGCTGGACATTTTACCACAGCAACTAGAAAAGTAGCTGAGATGGAACGGCACTGTGTAATCTAACTGCCTTTGTAACCTTCTGATGGGTCTTGTAACTTTCTAAGCTCCCCGAGGGGGGTCTTCCAGGAAACAGTGTTTCAATTCGGAAGACTTGGCTACAGCAGTGAGGGTGACTGTAATTAATTGTAATTAATTAATTACAATTCACATTCCTGTGACAAAATCCTCGCCAGAAGCAATCTAAGGCAGGAAGGAAGGTTTGGTTTTGGTTGACAGTTACAGGGTACAGTTCATCAGGACAGGAGCCAAGGCAGTTGGCATGTTGCACCCAAGTCAGGAGGTGGGGCGGCAGGTGGGGGAGGCAGCTGAGAGAGATGGGAGATATGGTGATTTTTACCTCACTTTTTCCTTTTCATTCAGTCCAGGAACCAGACCATAGGATGCTGCCCACATGTGGGGTGGGGATTGCCAGCTCTGTTAACCTAATGTAGAAATTCCTTTACACACACACACACCCAGAGGTTCTTTTTGGTGACTGTGTGACATTAACTACCACCACAGGCCATGCAAGCATTTAGATAGTAGTACCATCTATGTGCCGCCCTCCCCTTTTAGAGAACTTGCTTTTTATTTACAAGTTTTATTTTACGTGTATGAGTGCTTTGTCTGCATGTCTAGGCGCCACCTGGGCATGCCTGGTGCACACGGAAGGCCACAAGAGGGAGTTGGATCCCCAGAACTCTGGAGTTACAGAGTCACGGGGCACACCTGGCCCCGTGTGTGTGTGTGTGTGTGTGTGTGTGTGTGTGTGTGTGGTGTTGAGATACAAAGCTGGGGCCTCTGGGACAGGCAGCCAGTGCTCTTAACTGCAGCGTCATCTTACATCCACACTCGAGTGTGACAGGGTATAGTTGTCCAACCATGCCCCCCCCCTACCCATATATTTTGTCTTGGAGAACTCAGAACGGTTGTATAATTTCTGGGTTTTGGTGCCCTGGTATCCTGTCCTTTAGAAGAAGTTCCAGTGTGGTGATTTTTTTTTTTCCTTTATGAGAGTCCCTCAACCTCGGAGTGGAAAGCTGTGGTTTATCACAGAACGGGGAAGAAGGGATGAACAGTGAAAATGGGGGGGGGGTGAATTTGTCTCTGGTGTCCCAAATGAATGCCTGTAGCCCCCAGCCAGAGGCCAACGTGATGCAAGAAACTGGCACTTTGTAGATGGCATTTCATCAGCTCCTCCCAGCTCTGCTTGTGTGATTTTGGTCCCATCCTCATTTCTCTAGGATGGGCTGTCACGTGGGTCCAGGGCAAGGCATAGCGTCCCTACAATGTCTTACACAAGCTCACTGTGTTCAGTACCGAGTGGATTCTTGCCCCTGTGTTTTCCGAGCTCTCATTTTACTGCTTCCGCTGGCCATCTGGGCAGGCTGATGTGATCGGGAAAATGGAAAGGGAACGTTATTTTTTGATATCCATATTACTTTACTGTTTCTGTGATAGGACACCATGACTAAGGCAACTTATAAAAGAGAGTTTATTGGAGGCCTAGTTTACTGGCCATCTCAAGCCCCCCAAAAATAGCTGTACAGTACTTGTCCATTCTTTGCAGCGTTCCCAGAGCCTTGGAGAGGCTGTTGAATGTATATTCCTTCACGTGGGCCTGAGGATTGGCCCACACAAGCTGTCTCACACCTTCAGAAACTATGATTGCTCATCAGCAAGGAGGAAGCTTGCCGCTCAGACTTAGCTTGATTTGTTTCCTGACCCCAGAGCATGTGGTATCTTTGGTGTTAGGGACTAACCATCCTGTTTTGGCTTGCAGCTGTGGTAGTAGTCTGTATGGTTTTCGAGGCTTTCAGAGCCTTGCCTGGGCAGAGCCGTGGCCTACCCCTCTGTGTGTAAGGTTGGAACTATCTGACAGAGGTCTCCTAACACTTCTACCTTGTGCTTTCTCTCTCTCCCCCTCCTCCTCATCCTATCTTTCCCGTGAGTTTCAAGGCTTCGAATCCCAGCAGGGGCTTTTCAGCAAAGATGTAATTTATAATCTTTCCCTTAGGCTACCTCAGGACATAAAAAACATCAAAATGCCAAGCCAGGATTTCCACCTGTCTTCCCTTTTCCCCCTTTGCAACTTCGCCATGTGTTACAGACGAGTTCCCTCTGGGCAGGCAGCTTGCTGGTGTTGCATGTCCTGCGACCCATAGCAACAGCGATGCGGCTGCCCTACAGCGTCCCCACAGCTCTGTTACACGTGTGCCACTTCCCTGGGTCACAACGTATTTTCTAGTCCACTAGCCCTTCCGGGAGGCATCCCTAGACCACATCCGTTAAGGAAGGGATGTCGGCAGTACAGCACATGGAGCAAGCTGGCCACCCCAGGATTTCCTCCAGGGATGTTCCACCATGGGTCACCTTTGCTGCTGTTTGTAAACAAATTATTGTATGTAGGTGTGTGCTTGCGTGTGGGTATGGTGCACATAGCTGCAGAAAACAGACAGAAGGTGTCAGTTCCCCCCCCCCCCCGGGGCTGGAGTTACAGGCGATGTGAGCCCCCTGACACTGGGCTGAAGCCCTCTGCGGAAAGCATATGCTCTTTCAGCCACAGAACCACCCCATGGCCTCTGCTGTTTAACCGTTGTTGTTTGCTTGCTTGTTTTCTCCTTTTATTGAAGACTGATTTTCTTTCTCGCATAATATGTCTATTTTTTTTTTTAAACCTGAGTCTTGCTTTGTAGTTCTGGCTAGCCTACTCTTATGTAGGCTAGGCTAACCCCAAATTTGCAACATTCCTTCATCTCAAGTCTCCCAAATGCTGGGCTCAGAGGTGTGTGCGACCTACCATGCCCATTCCTCATCATTGTTACTATTGTGCAAGCAACTATTACTGTACACTTTTTCTAGAGAGGTGCAAAAGTGTAAAAGACACATTTATTCACCCCCAGTAATGGAAAGGCCAGCAGACCAAAGAAAGGGTTGTCAAGTCCAGTTTGGCAAACTCCTCGAGTGCAGCAGGCCGCTCACAGACAGGTGGATCACCAAGTACCTCCACCCCTTAGCTTCTTACCTTTTATATACTTCAGCATTTCTAAGATCCTGCTACTACACAGCAATGGGTAGAAGGGAATGGATAGTAGAACATCCAACAGCCTTGTTACCACGTTCAGGGTTAGCTGTTGTAGAGTTAGTCCTTTTCATTTTGTTACCACAACCCTGGCCCAAGGAATGCTTGCTGTAGGTCACCATAGCCATTCTGCTTGAACTTGGTGGCGGCCATGCCAAGCCTGAGGGAAATGGCTACACTGTTATGAGCAGTTTTCCCTCAGGTCTGGTCCCACCACCGCGCCAGCCCCAAATAACACACAGAGATGTTGTATTAGATACAAAGCTGTTGGCCAGTTACTAGTGTTTCTTATCGGCTAGCTCTGTCTTAAATATTAACGCATTTCTATCAATCTAAGTATTTCCACATGGTCTTATCCTACCGGAGGGCCCAGCGTTCTGCTCTCTCCGTCCTCCATGTTGAATCTCCCCCCAGAACTTCCTCTCTCCTCCTTGTCTCCTAGTCCCGCCTAGCTTGCTTTTTCCTATTGGCCAACAGTGCTTCATTCATTAACCAATACGAGAAACGTATTTACAGAATGGCATCTCCCATCAACTATAGCTCTCAGAGGGTGGGCAAGGAGAATGGCACTCAGCTGTGTCCTTGAACCTAAGAGCTGAGAGGTGATTAAGGTTAGTCAAAGAGAACACAGGGTAAAGGGGTCAAGGGGCTGGGCACTTCCCCTGGGCAGCAATGGGGGTCGTGGAGGCTTATGTAAGAAGGGCCGGCTGCCATATAGGAGCAGAAGGCATCTTGAGGTTTGTGGAGGCCTTAAAGGTTCCTTGTTCACATGCTGTTACAGATGGCCACAGCTGAGGAATCTCAGCTGGAGAGCCAGTGGGCTTTGGGGCACCCTGAATTCTGAAGTAAGAGAGAGGTGGGCCACACAGGGTTCTCCGGGAATCCCCACGGTGGCTGATGGTGAAGGGCAAGGTAGAGGAGGCCAGGAAGGTGCTGTGCTATGCGGCGGACGTGAACAAGAAGACCATTCCTTTAAATCTACTGAATGAGGTAAGAGGCCTCGGGTCGGCAGTGAGGCCAGGGCTGGAGACTGAAGCCCTCTTCCCTCGCCCTTTCACGGGACCTCAGTCTACCGCTTCAGAATGAGGACAACAAAATCAAGCCCCCACCCCCACCCCGCCAAGGCTGGAAAACAGCTAGCACGGGGGGAGGGGGCAGGCCTTGCCTGGTGTGTGTGGGCGCAGGGCAAGCTGGGGTCCCTCTGCCTTTGGCTGGTTTTGCTGTCTTGTAGCTGCAGCTTCAGGGAAAGAAGGTGACCAAAGCCTCCATCCTGGACTTCTACACCAATCAGCACCTTTTCAAGGTGATCTTGTCCATGGCCTGTGTGTGGTGAGTGCCCGGGGTCGGCTGCAAGCTCAGGGACGGCAGGGACATTGGTCAGGCCTAGGGTCATGTCTCAGTTTGTGTCTTCTCTTTGCCTCTCTGTCCTATTCCTCTGGACACCCAATCCTCCCTCCTCCTCTCCCTCCTCACTTCCTCCCCCTCCTCCTCTTCCCCTTCTTTTTTTTCTCTGTTTCCTCCCCCTGCTCTCTCCTTCCTTTCCTCCTTCCTCCCTCCTTCCTTCTCTCCGTCCTCCTCTCTCTCTCTTGCTCTCTTATTGTTTTGCTCCAGGTATACGGTCAGTTACATCTACATAACCCTGAGCATGAAGATGAAGGATTTGGGGGTAGACAACTACTTCAGACAAGTGATCCCAGGCATTCTGGAGGTGCCAGCCCGGCTGTGTTGCATTGTTCTCCTGGAGCATTTTGGGAGGAAGTGTAGCCTATTCCTGAGCCTCACCCTAGCTACCATCATATGTTTGCTTCTCCTTTTCCTTCCTCAAGGTACAGAACGCCAGCAAGGCTGCTTCCAGAACTCTCACTTCTTCAAGGTCTTCCTAGTGTCTCTTATCTTGACTGGCCAGCTAAGTTGGCTCCCTGCATGCATCCTTTGCTCTCTGTAAGGAAGCCCCATCCCCCAAAACAGCATGTACCCACATTCAGAGACCTGAGAGATGAGCTCAGGCTATCCACATAAGAGGTATCCACATAAGAGGTATCCTTGAGTGTGAGGGCAGGCAATCTCCGTGACCGCATTCCAGGCCACACCAGAAGCCATTCTACTGGGTAAATGAGGGTAGATGGTGGCAAAAATCTTTTCGCTCAGCGCCCCCCCCCAAGGCCTGGCCTCTCGTTTGCAGCCTTTCATTTGGCAAGCATGTACTGTTACCTATGATGTCTAGGATTATCTACTCATTGAACATTGGTGATTGTTGTACTGGACCCATGCAATAGTCTTGCTCAGAGGCCCACTGCCAGGCCTCTGGTGCTCAGTATTATCTCCAACATTTCAAAGATCCTTGGGCAGTAAGCATGGCTCAGTCTGTGGGGCTGGAATGCACAGAGCTGTGGTGGTGCCCTGCCAATGGCCAGTGCCTAGCAGGGCAGGGGGCTGCAATGCATGTTTCCCTAAGGAGCCCCCTTCTTTCTCTGAGAACGCCTCTCAGCATCCTCTGAGAAGTTAGCAGACATTGATTAGGTACAACGAAATGAAACATTTTTAGTTTCTACAGCCTGGTTTATTGTTATTGACATTATTGTTGTTGTTAAGCCGAGCACTGAATCTAGGCAGCAGATTTACAGATCTCATATGTGGACAAGAACTAGGGATAGGATTCTGGGGAAAAAAGTCTGGGGGTTGGAGACATGGCTCAGTTGGTGAAATGCTTGCAGCGTAGACATAAAGAGCTGACTTTAAATGTCCAGTCCCCGCGTAAAAGTCCCAGGAGGACGGCCCTGCCACAGTCAGGACAGGCTGGGCCTATGCACATCAACACTTCTGCTGAATGTCTGAGTCTGCTGGCTAGCTGACCACGTGGTAGGGGCGGGCCATTCAGCTGTCTTTGCTAGGAGACCGAGAGGAGGCTGGAGGGTGGCCCAAGACTCAGGGCCATGCTGTCTTCACCCAGAGCTGAAGTCGACAACAATCTTGATGGTTGTGCTTGGAGAGTTTAGCCTGGCTGCCACCATCACTATCTTCTTCATCTACACGGCTGAGCTCCTCCCCACTGTCCTCAGGTATGGAGTGTGGTGGGCTGAGGGGTGATAGGAGGACGGGACAGTGACTAGACTGATGTAGCAGCCAAGACTGAGCTTTGCCAGAAAACAATCACCGTGTTGAGCATAGTTTGCATGGATTGGCTCACCCAGCTCTCATCAGAAAGCAAGACCCACCCGAGTGACATCAGTCATTGGCCACCTTTCAGTTGACAAAGCAAAGTCACGTTGTAGGTCATGCATAGCAGGCAGAGGAGCTGGGGTTTGTATTAAAGGGATCTTAGTTTCTCTTCCTGTCGCTGTGATAAAGTAACTCGGGGAAAAGGAAAAGGGAGTTTATTCTGGCTCTCAGCTCACAGATCATTATGGTGGGGCAGGCAAGGCCAAAGGGGCTTGAAGCAACTGACTACATTACAGCACAGCCAGGGATAGCAATGCATGCATGCCACTGTTTGGTTACTCCAATGCATGCATGCCACTGTTTGGTTACTCCTGGTGCATGCATGCCACTGTTTGGTTACTCCAATGCATGCATGCCACTCTTTGGTTACTCCAATGCATGCATGCCACTCTTTGGTTACTCCTGGTGCATGCATGCTGCTGGCTACTCCCTTTCTCCACTTGCACAGTACAGGATCCCCCAGCAAGTGGGTGAGTCTTCCCATCTCAGCTGACCTGATCCCTACAATCATGCTCAGAGGCCAGTCTCCCAGGTGATTCTAGATTTTGTCAGATTGACAGGGAATAATGACTATCACGTCGGGTCTGCCTCTAGCCCCTGCCTGGCACCTTGTCCTCATTAGTTTCCCATTAAGGTGATGGATGCCAAGACCAAAGGCAGTTTGGGGATGGAAGGCTTGGCTTCACCCCACAGCATACTTTCACGAAGGGAACCTGGGGAAAGGAAGTAAATCAGAAGCCATGGCTCGTTCCTCATGGATTGTTCAGTTTGCTTTCTTATACACCCCAGGACCATCTTCTGGGGATGATCCCTCCCACATCAATCAAGGACATGGCCCCCCGCCCCCAGCCCACAGGCCAGTCTGATGAGGGCATTATCTGAACAGGTTTTTCTCTTTCCAAGAAAGTGTACATAACCATCAACCCACACCAGATGCCTGAAATGTGTGTGGGTCACCCCGAGGCTCTGCTTCTTCTCCCATGGAGCTCCGCCTTTCCTCATATGGTCATATGCCATTATGATGTATACAGGATTAATCACTCTCTCATTCTCAATATCCAAGGAGGCCCAGGAGAGATAACTACCTCTCTCCAGTCAATGAGGAACTAGGCTCTCTAAGGTCATGCACTGGGCTGAAAGAGGGTAAAGAGCAGAGTATGTGGTTTTCGGCAGCGTCTCCTTTTCATTGTACCGAGCCTCTGAGCCTAAGAAGTCTTCTAAATCAATTCTCAACTCCGTTTGCAGATCTACGGGTCTGGGGATGGTGTCTCTCGCCTGGGCAGCTGGAGCCATCACAGCGCTGGCCATCTCCAACCAGATCAAAACACAGCTGCCCATCTTCTTCTGCTGTGTCTCTTGCGTCCTGGCCCTGTGCTTCTCTTCCCTGGTGCCAGAGACAGGAAACCAACCTCTGCGTGACAGCATAGAGTACACATCAAGGTAGATGAGCAGAGCCCTTGTCTCGCTCGGGCCTGGGCATTGAAGAGTATGCAGACATTGTCCACCTTGATGACAAGAGGTCCTGTGACATGAAGATCGCCCTGCTCAAAGCAGTGTCCCCACATCTTCTGGATATGGTCACTCGCCTGGGTCCGGCTCAGGCTCTGCCAGTTCTCTCCCCCTGCTGGGCTTTCCTTGCCCACACATCCTCTCTTTTCCCTGCCCCAGATGCCTCTCCAGCCTGGGGCATTGCCCTTGGAGATGAGGAAACTAAGGTGTTGTAAATCCGTTCAGTGTTAGGACCTCTTCTCCTAAAGTGTCTTTGAGAAGGTTAAACCCACATTGTAGAAGGTCCAGCATGTGGCAGGTATTCAGGGACAAACACAGTGAGATGTACTCCAGAATTTCAGGAAAGAGAGGGGTCTAGTTGGGATTGAGAGGTGGAGTCAGCCTCATGCTGAAGAGAAGGCTCCTCCGGGACCCATGACCGGGCTTAGCTGGGGACCTAGATGAATGAGAAAGCCCATCTCTCTCAGTAGATGTCATGACTGAAAATGCCTCATGATTTTTCTCAGCATCCAAAGAGATTCCATTGAATCCAAGAGGAGAAGCCAGGACATCGCTGCAATGATAATAGCAGAGGAGTCAATGTCTGATGTTGTGGCTGACGAAGTGACAAAGAACACCATTCTCAATGCCATGCCTCTAAAATCAGAAGCCAGCAGGTTCCCCGGCACGGACCTGCAGGAGCTTAGCAGCAGGAAAGTGCCCAGTCTATAACCCTGAGGGCCAGCTTCCCGGGTGGGGGTGGGGGTGGGGGTGGGGCATAAATCCAAAGGATCCAGTTCTAGACCCAGTCTGTCCTTCTCCAAGGCCAGCCCTCAGGATCCAAAAGTAGCCCCTTCTGGAGGAGGAGCTAAGTTGCGATTCATTCCAATAAAATAATCATGTTGGTCTTGAGATGGTTAGGTCAAGGTTGGCTGTGTCATGACAACCCAGAAGCTTCGGCCTAGACAGGTATGGGGTGGTGGTTAGAAAGGCAACCAAGGCTTTCCAGGATCTTTGGCTAAGTCTTCGGGAACAGCAAATAATTTTCTGGATGGAGTGGGTGTAGGGTGGGTAATATCTCTGAGGTTCAGAGACGGAACAAGGTTCCAATCATACCTTCTAGCCCAGCCATCGGCTCAAGCCCAGACCAAGGACAGAATTCACAAGGTATGGATGGAATGTGAAAAGTTAATGGAAGCATCTCAAGTTGCTTAGGGCATTCTCTAGTCCCTCGATATTCCAAATGAGCACGACTTTAAAGGTGATCCGTCTCAGGCTTTACCCCGAGAGATGCCCTCCTGAGATGGCACCGGTGAAGCTGACCTCTGACCTCCACCAAACCAAGAAAAAGCCCTTGTGACATTTCCCGTCTATTGTCAACTTGACGCAATCTAGAATCACCTGGGATCATGCCTGCAGGAGAGTATCTGGATCAGGTTAGTGGCGGTGGGGACACCTGCCTGCTGCGTGTGGTACCATTCCTTGAGTTGGGACCTAAAATGAATGAAGAGAGGAAAGCCTGCTGGAAGGCAGCCAGAGTGCGTCCATCCCTTTGCGCTCCTCGACTGTAGGTGTAAAGGGGATCCACCGAGATAAACTAGGGGCTTAAATAAACCCTGCCTCCCTCCCTTACATTGCTTTTGTCATGGAATTTTATCACAGTGTCCTAATCAGTCCACATCAGGGGATTGCTTAGATGAGATTGGCCTGTGGACATGTTTGTGAGGGTTGTCATGATTATAAACTATAAATTAGAGCACCAGGGCCCAGTCAGCTGTGGGTGACATCATCCCTAGGTCCTGGGCTGTGTAAAGCTAAGCTTGAGCCGTGAGTGAGCCAGGAAAGTGTCCCTGTCTCCAGGTTCCTTCCTGAGTTTCTGCTTAGATTTTCCTCAATGACGGATTGTGACCTATAAGCATATGCCAAATAAACCCTTTCCTTCCCAAGCTGCTTTTGGTTTGAAAACTTTAGTCAGAGCAACAGAGAGGGAGCTGAGAGGTACCTAGTACAGCACCCATCCTACAGTCCTCAGAGCCCACTGTCCCCCAGGGTGAGCATGCCGTCGTCAGCTAACATGTCTCCTCCAAGTAGGGCAGAGGTCACGAAGTGGACCGGGAAGTCGTGGGCTTCAAGCCCTGTCCCCATTTCCCCTTCCCCTCTGCAAGCTGTCCTTTAAGTCAAAGCCTGCCTCCTGCCCATTTTTGGTTGAAGATCATGCTCTTGTAAAAAAAAATAAATAATAATAATAATAATAATAATAATAATAATAATAATAGTTTTCACCTAAGTCTGGAAGCTTCTGCAAGAACCGCAAAGGCTTTACTTCTAATGAAGGCAAGATGACAGGCTCTTAGAAACAAACCACTCTTTTCGCCCAGACGCCTTAGTGTAGTAAATGTATGAACTTATACATTAACAGTAAATCCTATCACCCTCAAATCTGATGATTTTGTGATAGAATAAACAGTATCGAACATGCTCATGGGGACTAGCTCCTTGTGTCCAAGGACACAAGTAATACATCTAGTGATGGACCCACAGATACCCGTGGGTGTCAGGGACCTCATTTTCATTGTCACTGGTGACTGGCTCTGTGGAATTCTCGCCCCACAGGCACATTTTAGGGTCTGATAAATTTCTACTACTTCTGAGGGATTAGCTTAAAAGTTAACCCCAGTGCCTATCCTAAACTGTCATCTTCCCATGCCCACTCCTCATATAACAACTTCTCAAAGAGTATGAGGTCATGTAGGAACACTGCTAGACATACAACGAGTCCTAACACCCCAGAACATGGCAGCCCCAGGAAAGAAGCCAAGAGCCATCTTGCTATTGTCTTAGAAAAAGCAAATACAAAATCTAGTCAGATAGATCATCAAAATAGCACAGACTTATAAGGCTTTTTAGGGAAAATGAACTTGAAAACAAAAATTACCATGAAGGCGAAAAAAAGAAGACAGAAGAAAACAAGCAAGAACTCGAGAGTTGAGGCTCCGTAAACAATGACAAACACCATCCCCAAAGGAAGCTGAAGTAGAATACAGCATTACAGAGGGACGAAGGGGAAACTAGAATAGCATTAAACAGGGGTGAGGATGGGAGAGAGGGGGGAAGGAGGGAGCATGGGGAGGGACCACTAACCTTCGTACGTAAACCTACCGCTGTAGAAGCTTCCTAAGACATGCATATGTGAAAGCAGACATTACACCACCTATGAAACCTCCAGTGTCAGGAGTTAATTACATCTTGTGAGCTTTTGGCTAAAGGAGCCCCATGGAAAAACCCACACTTCCAACGCTATTACCAAGACTATTTCTTGCTTTCCATAACCTGATGGTAAGACCCAGTTACAGGCAGTTTTCCCACCAGCCTGGTCCCACAGCGTGTCAGCCCCAAATAACACACAGAGACGCTGTATTAGATATAAAGCTGTTGGCCTGTTACTAGCATTTCTTATTGGCTAGCTCTGTCTTAAATAATAACCCATTTTTATCAATCTAAGTATTTCCACATGGTCTTGGCTTACTGGAGAGAGGGCCTGGACCTTATACTCCTCTTGGTCCTATATGTTGACTCTATTCCTACCTCTCCCCACCTAGAACTCTGCCTATCTTGCTTTCCTATTTGTCAACAGTGCTTTATTCATTAACCAATAAGAGAAACATATTTACAGAATGACATCTCCCATCATCTCTTCTTTTCAGCCTAAATAAAAAGAAGGGTTTTAACCTTAACATAGCAAAGTATATAACAAAACAGTTATCAAATAAGAATCACAGTTAACAATATTTAGTCCATTAACATTTAGCAAAATTTAAAGAAAAGATTTCATCATCCTATTTTTGTGAGTCTAAAGTCCTATATGTAACTTATTTTTAATCCTAACTAAGGAAAACTATTACCATAACTATCTGTCTTCAACTCCATCAAAGACCACAGAAGGATAACATATAAACTCTAGAAATGGCAGAGACAATTCACTGCCTGGTCAGTCACCTGAAGTTCTTCTGTAATCTTCCATCTTCAGCCCATAGGCCATAGTGTGTCTGGCAGACTGCCGTCTTGTATTGGTAGTTTGTCAGTCACTTTTCTCTGTGTCCTGCAGACTGTCTCGCAGACTCTTCCATGAAGCAGGAACCCTGTATCAATGTCCATCTTGAATCAGCAGTCACTTTCCTGTGGGTCCTGCATGTCCAGTTTATACAGCATAAAGTCAAACAGTCCAGACAAGAGCAGTATCTTGCCCAAATGGCTAGTCTTGCCATATTGGAAGTAAACTCCATAATAAGTTTCTTCAATGTCCATCTTTCTTATTGATACAGGTAGTGTTGCCAGGAGCAGTTGTTGGTTAAACCCCTCTCCTTAAGGCTCAGGGACCTATTTAGAAGACACAGCAGAATTATTACAAGAGCCAGAGGTTACAAATGTCTCCAAGGAAACCATGTCTTTCAAACGCAATAGGATGGATGCTCATATGAACTCAGACTATGGCAGCAACTCAGACCTGTACAGGTTAAGCCAGATTGGGGCTGGGGATGATGGGCACAAGCCCCCAACCCTAACCAAGGAGCTCCCTATTGAAGAAGGTATCTGTACTTGATACCTGCTGGCAAGGGGGAAATCCGTCTTCTCCAGCAGTTTCTCACTGCGTATGACAACTTCACTTCAGAGCAGGCCGTGTGCTCAGGAGCAGCTGGCCAACACAAAGAACTTTGTTTCATTTTTCTTTGTTTTCCTTTTCTTATTGGTCTTTTGCTTGCTTTATTTTTGTTCCTTGGGGTTGTGGTGTGTGTGTGTGTGTTTCTTGCTTTTCATTCTTGGGTTTTTTGTTCTTTGAAAGAGAAAAGAGAAAAAACATCCCCATTAAAGATGTTCAGAGGTGACTCTTAAGACTCCCCCAAGGAATGTACACTGTAATGGGTTAAACAGCAGGGAAAGTACCAGACATAGCCCAGAAACAACTTGTTTGGCTCTCCTTTGGGGATTGTGTCTTGTATGATGAAGTATGATCCCTCTACCATTTTACTTGGTAGTAGTCTTGCAGAGAACTTGGAACGGTGGCCACACCCCTTGGGCGTGGCCTCAGAGGGAAGTGGGAAGAGGGAAGCTTGGGGCGTGGCTTTCCTTGGCCCAGCTTTTCCTTGGTGGGTCAGCTGATCTGGTAGGAACAGCAGAACCGCTCCTGTGGTTGTTCGTATTTACCTGTGTAAGTGTTCCCCATTTATCAATTATCTTGGGTCTGGTGAAATAATTACATCCTTGCTCTCATTAGGGTTTCTCTGTAGCCCTGGCTGTCCTAGAACTCACTCTGTAGACCAGGCTGACCTCGAACTCACAGAGATCACCTTGCCTTTGCCAACCGAGCACTGGGATTAAAGGTATGTGCCACCACCTCCTGACTCCCTCTATTATTTTTGGTAAGAAGCTTAAAAAAAAAACTCTGATATTACCTTATATCATTAAAAATTTCAAATCTGATAAGTAACATAACATGCCCATAATTTCAGCACTTGGGAAGTAGATACAGGAAAATATGAGTTCCAGACCCAGTGTGAACTACACAGAAAATTCGGGGCCAGCCTAAGCTACAGAATAAAGCAGATTCTGTATTTAAAATATAAACTAATATAACATATAAACAAACTTAAAAGTAAGATAAAATAATGATCAAACATAAAAGTAAAATATAGTTTTTGAAATAGGTAGGGCTCAGGGAGAGCTCCTGGAGTCAC